CTCTCCTGATGTCATCCCAGGGCTTGTCACACACGTGAGCAGCTGGGCTTCAAACGTTTGGTTCCTGCCCTGTCTTCCTGGACTGTGTCAGAGAGGAACGGAAAAAAAAAAAGGAAAAAAAAAGAACCCAACATCTGTTTTCACACCAGGGCTGGGAACTCATTCCTGAAACATTTTTCATTTCGTCACGAGTAACAGTTCCGCCCTTTGCTCCCTGGCCTCCTTGGCGCCCCGTGATAAGACAGGAACGAACGTGCTGATGGGCACTTCCAGGAACAGGAGTCCTCCCTGGCAGGTGCCAGAGCCAGTGCCCGCGAGGACTTCCCAGGCCAGCCCGCCAAGCCACTGTCCTTGGGGCTCTCTTCCCACCAGCACCTCCCTCGGGTCCCTGCAGGCAGATTGGTCACTGGCACGGCCACCAATCAAACATCCTTCTCCCCGACTTCCAGGTTCCTGGGCCACTTGAAGGAGAAGAACCTCCCCACCCCACCCTTCTAGCTTTTGAATCTCCAGGCCTGGGAAGAGCTAAGTACACCCTCAATCCCTCCAATGGCTCTGGGAGGCTCTGCCACTCCCTCCCAGCCTGACCTTGAGCCAATATTTAAAGAACCCTCACTACTCTGTACTGGGCATTATCCTAGTTACTTTTTATAGGAATCAACTCATATTTAAGCCACTCAACAACCTTACATCTTGTGTGATTAGTTTCATTATTCCCTATTTCACAGATGAGGAAACTAAGCCACCCAGAGTTTATATAGTTCACCAAAGACCAGACATATCCTGGATTCGAACCCAGACCCTCAGGCTCCAGGGGGGCTCCCGGTTACCACCAGGCCAGCAGTCCTCAAACTCTGTGGTCTCAGGACTCCTTCACAGTCTTCAAAATTATTGAGGACCCCAACAGCTTTCTGTTTCTGTGGTTCCTGTCAATCACCATAATTAGACATTAAAATGGAGACATTTCTGAAGCTCGAGAACATGGCGCACATGTCCCATTAGTCACCAGAGCCACGGCATCATCACCCACCGAGTAGCCTCCAGAAGACACTCCCCATCGCCCATGAGACCAAAGCAAGTGACAAAAGCAAGTGACAGCTTAGTGTTATTACAAAAATAGTTTTAACCACATGGACATCTGAAAGGCTGTCCAGGACTCTGAGGGATGCCCAGACCAAACTCAGGCACTGCCCTGCCTCCATTACCTTGCCAGAACATGTGCCTAAGATTCCCACCCCGCCCCCCTTCTCCCAGGTACTGATGCAATGAGTAAATGTGTACTGAGCACCAACGCTGTAGGAGGCACCATGCTAGGCACTGGGACACAGCAGGGATGAACAAACACACCCTACCCTGTGAAGCTTCCAGTCCATTCAGAAAAAAAATAAAATCCTTCCAGCCCTGGCCAGGTGGCTCAGTTGCGGGGAGCGCTGTCCCATACACCAAAAGGTTGAAGGTTCGATTCCCAGTCAGGGCACATACCTAGGTTGCAGTTCAATCCCCAGGAGGCAACAAATCGATGTTTCTTTCTCACATCAATGTTTCTGTCTTTTTCCCTTCCTCTCACTCTAAAATCAATAAACATATCCTTGGGCGAGGATAAAAAAATTCTTCCAATAAGTAATTTGAAATTATGAAAATTATTAGGAAAGAAAAAATGGGCCACAACGGGAGCTTAAATCAGAGGCGAGGTGTAGTTAGCGGGGCCAGGGGAGGTTTCCTGAGGACTTTGAAAACGGTGACTCTGCTTTGCAAGAAGGAGCTGTTGGCAGGCGCCTGGTGAGGGTTTGGGCGCTGGCATAGCCTCCGCTCTTCCGGCTCCTTCTGTTCCCAAAAGCACCCAGTTAAACCTTTTCAGGCCAAAGACTTTCACCCCTGGGCTCCTGGCTACTGAGTTCAGAAACCCTTCCCTCCCAGCGTTCGGTACCAACACAGCTGGTCCAAGGCCGCGCGCAGCAGCAGACGCTGGTGGCTAGGAGAGAGGAGGCAGCTCAGGGAGGAAAAAGAACATTGCATGTTGAACTCCATACTTAAATATAGGCCATTTCAATGAAAGTCTATAATTCAAAATAGTCTTTGAAAGATGCATGGTGTATTTTTTTTTGGTCCTTTTTCTAAACGCAGAGCCACAAATGCCAAAAAGCAGCTGTAATTTCTTCAGGACAAAAGTCTCGGTGATTCAGAACTCGTCGTTGCTCATCTCATTCCTCTTTTAAAGATGCCTGCAATTTGGAAACGTAAGAAGTTTCCAAACCTCCTTACGAGGTTCCTTGGAGTGTTTGGTAGAAGGCACATCAGGCCGGGAGTAGGGCCTGGGTCTCATCACAGGTAAATTCACTGTGGGCTTTCGAACAAGTTTCTTCTCTGGTTTGGGACACAGTTTTGACTTCTCTGGGATGGGTGGGGAGGTGCGGAGAAACTTTGACTCTATCAATATTTTACAAACAGTGCAGGGTACCTATGGAGGATGATTTTAGGAGTCAGAAAGCCTAAGAGAAAATACTTCACAAAAAGGGCAATCACTTTTCAATTCTCCTTTATCCTTGGGATTACATGTCAAAGAGAGACTCCCATGCTGGTGCCTGGTGTCCCCCCAGCCCTCTAGGCTCGCTGCTTTCTCCGTCACTGAGAACTGGCCTTCAGCAAGCAAGAGGAGCTAGAATTTAATTTCATTCTTTTGTTAGCCCTGTGCATGTGCCTTGGTTAATTTCTACTTTAGTAAATAACTATTTTTCTTTCCCTTTATCGTAATGATATAAAATTTCCTTTGTACATAAATGCATTTCAGTTTTTAAAAGTGAGTTATTAAAAAACACACACATACACACATACACACACACACACACAACATAGCAGATATTACAGGAAGCACAAAGCTACAGCAGCAATGATGGCCAGGTCACCCACGTTACAGAACTCTGAGTGCTTTCCTCTCTGGTCTAGGCACAGCCCCCGCTGGTTGTCTGTGGTCACAGGATGCTCTCACTGTCCTGCGTTCCCCTATTGCCCACACTCCCTGGGCACTGAAGTTGTGCTCAGCAGACTCTGGACCAGGGGTAGAGAGGTCCAGGTTGCTTGGGAATGTTGTCCTGCCACAGAGAGAAGAACAACAGGTTCCCCTCCAGGAATAACCCTCTGTCTTGCAAGGGGAGGGCCCTGGCAGGGGTGTGCAGAAGAAATCACCATAACCATGTGTTCTGGGTGGGGTAGGACTTTACAAGGGCTTCCTTGCATCTGACCCCAGGAATCCTCCCCACACACCTCCATTGTAGGTGTTATTTTACAAGTGAGGAAACAGAAACGCGGAAATGACGTAAGAAGTCACACACCTGGAAAGAGATGGAATGAGGGCTTTAAATCTGCATCTTTTGTCACCAAAGTTCATGCTCAGTCAACTACAAATGACACAGAAGGAGGTTTGGGAATAAATCAGGAAGATGAACTGGGTATTTTTATGGTGATAACTATACTGTTCTATGAATACACTATCTAAATAGTCCCTCAATTTGGAACATGTATCTTGTACCCAGTAAATGAAAAAAAAAATAACCTTGGTGCTAAATTTCTGTATACATCTATAACATGTTTATAAGTAACTTTCTAAAAGTTTAACTGCGTCGTCAAAACTCTAAACACATCTTTGAGGCTCTTGACATACTGACCCATGTTGCCAAAATGTCCTTCAGAGAGGTTGCACCAACCAACCCATCTGACCCTGGTGTGAAGTGGGTGCCCATTCTCTCACACTTACCCTGATCCTGAGTATTTTCTTTAAATTTCTTAAAATAAGAGAGAAATGACACTCCGGTGCTTGGATTAGCATTTCTTTGATTATTAGTGAAGTTAAGCGCCTTCCCCTCTGCTCATTGACCATTCAGATTTATATCTGGAAACTTTAAGCTCAAGTTCATTGTTGGCTTTTTCAATATTGTATACATTCATGATTCGGGATAAGGGGGAGGATCCCAGAAGCTCTCTGGGCCCCAGTTTTCCTAACTGTGCAACGAGTTTGGGAGAAAATGCTCTCAAGATCCCTCAACTCTAGTCTGAACTGGGACAGAGGCAGTGCCGATGCTGCTGAGGGCCTGGGGACGCTTCCCACTTATCCCAGTAAAGGTGGTCCCGGGTGCCAAGATGGGCCACCTCTGCCGGATCAGTACTGAGCTCTGCTTCCCCACAGGGACAGCCCACCCAGGATCATTCACGGAGGCAGTGACTGTCTTTTGCATCCATGTTAAACAAAATTAGTTATAATTTAAGCAGCGATTTTTGTTCTTGTTACCTTCCTGTTTAATTACTCCTCCATCTCCTTGCATCCCTGCCAATGCCACCAGCGCCCCTATGCTTGGAAAACAGACTTGCAGAAGGTGGACTTGCCATGGTACCTTCACCATCTCCATGACAACCAGAGGTGATGCTCCTGACATGTTTACAAAGGAACATATTATCCCCAGCTAAGAAGAAGAGAACCACAAAGCTATAACAGAAACGTTAGATCTGTCTTTACAAAAAAATAAATAAATAAATAACTGGAAAGATTAATTTCTGACTATAGGCTTCCTTTAATGATGATTATTAAGTTAGAACAAATGCATACTTTTATCTTGGGTGGGTGTCCAGTTAAGATGAAGTTTGTTTAGTTGAAATGCAGGAAGTTGAAATTCCTCCAAACTGATCATTGCTTGAAAATGAACATGTGAGCCTGGATAATGAGGAAAGGAGTGGATGTGCATATCTTAACGCCCTGGGGAGGCTCAGATAACATGTTTTATTTCACATCTTCCAGGAAAAAAAAAAAAAAGGAGTTGTACGTTTTAGCCTTAGCCTCCCTCTATGTCCCCATCCCAGTCTTTCAGCCCACATGTCACCCTCACGATGGGCAAAGAATGTGCCCTACACATGGGGCTGATTTTGGAGTCACGGAAAACGGTGGGCCTGGAGCTCAGCACCTCCTGTCCCTTTGCCTCCCACAGTTCAACTGTTACCTTCACAGACACGGGATCGGGGCAGGAGAGGAGATGGTGGCATTCCGGGCACGTCTGTGTAGGCCTTTCAGAGAGAGATGATGGAGATTCACGTGTGAGCCCCAAGTTCATGCCAGCTGGGCACCTCCGGAGTGTGAAGAGCTCATCACTACCATTGAAAACATTGGGGCCATCAGATGAAAGCTGCAAATTTAGAGTCCCTCCCAGAAAACCGTCTCAATAACTGACTGGTGAACGAGGTGGTAGACAAAGAAGGAGAGGGAAAGGGAACCAGATGATCTTCTTTAAGAACTAAAGATCCCTCCATAACTTTTCCCCCCGCGTCTCTGATTCCAGCTCCACGGGAGTCACCCGCTGTTACCTTGGGGAAGTGACTTGGCCTTTCCTGGGTGACCTCTGCTGTAAAGGGTGTTAATAACACTCATCATGGGGCAGGTAGACTTAACACAGCACCCGCATACAGTAGGAGCTCAGTAAATGGTAGCTCCCAGCCCTGGCCAGGTGGCTCAGTTGGTTAGGCGGCGTACCCATACACAGTTGCCGGTTTGATTCCTGATCAGGGCACGTGCCTGGATTTCAGGCTCAATCCCTGGTAGCGGGTGTGCAGCAGGCAGCTGATCCATGTTTCCTTCTCACCTCTCTCTCCATCTCTCTCTTTTCCTCTAAATCAATAAAAACTTAAAAATATTTTAAAATAAATAAGTAAAAATTAATGGTAGCTCCCTTCTCTGTGGAAAAGGGCCTTGTAGGAGAGAAGTCATGAGCCTAAAGGAAGCGCTAGGATGGAAAAGGTAGACCAGAAGGTCAGGGTGGGCAGGAGTCCCCTGAGCCCTGTAGCCAAGATGACAATGAGAATGGGGAAGACAGAGAGGCAATGAGGATGACGAGGAGGCAGTGACAGGGAGCCCAGCGTCTCTCACTCCCAGCATCCAAGCTTGGAAGGCTTTGCACTCTTCCCCCAGAGGTGCCCTAGCTCCAGGTGACCTCTGCTGCCCGTTGCACTCAGTGAGATGGAGGAGTGGCCCAGTTGGCAGGAGGGGAGTTGAGAATGAGAGAGCAGCAGGCAGCACATTAGCCCCGGGGCCACAGCAGGTAAGAGGGAGGGCTCTGGAGTCAGACAGCCTGGATTCCAGTCTCTGCTCCCTGTTTTCTAAGTTCTGACCTCTGCAACCTCAGGCAAGTCAGTGCACATCTCCGACCTCAGTTGCCCCATCTCTAAAATGGGTATAATGATCATCCATATCTCAAAATATCATTGAGATAATAAAGTGGAATAAGATTATGTAAAGCACGGAGGAACGTGCCCTTTACTTAGCACGCAGTTAGAGGTTGCATTGTGGCCACCATTATCGCTGTTGTTATTGTTATTCTTATTATTTTATCTTAAGGATTGTTAGAGAGCCCTATATGCAACTCTCTTCATGATGTTTGAAAAGTCTCTGACAGAGTCCTGCATGGTATCCAAGTTAATGCTGCCAAACATCCAGGTTGGACCACTCAGGGGACCACTCTGAGCCTCAGTTTCCTCATCTGTAACCCAGTGTCATTGGACACGGCAGAGGGTGGATTCCATGAGGCAGTGGTGGAAAGTGGCCAGCACTGGGCTCGGCACAGAGGAAGGCTGGAGAAATGGGAGTTCCCTTTCTTTTCCTGCTCCCCCTGGGAAAGAGCAGAAACCAAGGTTAAGGACCTGCTGGGCTTCTCTGGCCGCCTGGCGGGAGGGAGAGCCGGTGGAGAGCAGGAAGGGGGTGGTGTGGTGGAAAGCAGGTCAGCTTAGTCCCCTCTGGGATCCAGCAGTTGGAAGCAGACTCCCTGTCTGCCGCTCGTCCAGCCCACCGCGGCCGTTCCCAGAACAATGGCAGGATACAGGCCTGCGCTCACCAGCAACGGCGTACAAGTCTCCGGGCCAAGCTGGGTTGGCCTCGGCCAAGCAGGGCTTGTCCCTGGTACACAGAGAGCCAGCAGCCTCCACATCAAATGAGGGGACCCAGGTATAGCCTGGTAATGTTCATCTGCTGACTCCCAGGGAGGCCCCAGTGTTAGCGTGAGAACTCTGGGAGTCCTGGAGACCTGGCAGAGAGATGGGAAAGGGGGCTCAGGGGACATTGGTCTGAGGGGCTTCACTCACAGATCTCCCTCTGGGCTAGTGTTCGGATTCCTACACTCGACGCCATTCCTGATGACACTATAATAAGCTGCCATTTTTTAACTGAGTACCTACTGTGTGCCAAGCCTAATGTGAAGTACACTCAATCCTCATTATCCCTGGATTCTGTATCTGCAAATTCACCTACTCGCTGAAATCAACACTGTGGCTTTCTCTCTCTCTCTCTCTCTCTCTCTCTCTCTCTCTCTCTCTCTCTTTCACTGTCATTCACAGACTTGCACAGAGAAGCAAGGAAATGTGAGTCCCTAGACACACACGTTCTCCACTGGGGTGGGACAAGGCCGCGCTCTGCCTCCTGGTTCCAGCTCTCAAGCTACAAACAAAGCTCCATCTTATGGCCTGTCTATGCCATGTTTTTCACATTTGGGGGCTTTCTGTTGACAATTTTGCTGTTAGGAGGGCCCCCGAACTAGTGCTAAAATGCAGTCCAGCATTCCTATGCACAAGAAGGCTGTGATGTCCTTGCAGAGAAAATGCGTGTGTTAGATAAGCTTTGTTCAGGTACGAGGTGTAGTGCCGTTGGCCTGAGTTCATGAATATTAACGAATGAGCAACACATATTAAGTAAGGGGTCTCTAAGTAGAAACACACAGACAACAAAGTCATGCATGGAGCGGTTCATGAACACACGGCGATGAGAGGCTCACAGTATCTAACCCCGTATTCCCCCTGGGAGCAGGGGCTTAGTGTTCGCTGATTGTTTTTGGTGGCTTTATAGAAGACAACGACTGCAAACAGTGACAATTGACTGTATTTGTTGTCTTAGGTGATATTGCAAAGAACCACGGAGGAGATAAATATTATTACTTCCCTTTTACAGGTGTGGAGATCGAGACAGAGGAAAGTGTACTTTCCTAAGGTCACCTGCTCAGATGTGGCAGAGCTGGGCTCACACCTGTCTGCCCCCAACGCCTGCATCCCTCCCTCCACACTGGGCCTTGGGGAGGGTGTCTACCTCCCAAAGGGCCAGTGTGACGCTCACACCCACAGGGACAGAATGTGTGAGCAGGACCAGCCTGCGGAGCTCCAGGCTGGTCCTCAATTTATGGGGAAACTGAGGCCTGGAGCGAGCAAGTATTGGGCTGAGGACATAGGAACTCACAGAGGCCCAGGGCAACATCTGCATTCTTGGTTCTTACCAGTTCCTTAGCAACATTGCCTGTGCTCCTGAGACCTCATTTTCTAAGTTTCCCATAAACCTTTCTTTGGGAAAATGTCGATTTTTTTAACAAAGAAAACTAATACTTGTCAAGCGCCAACCACCTGCCAGGCATTTGTTCTCACCCCCTGAGAGCAAAGTATGACCCCTAGAGTTGTCCCGATGGGAGCTTTGCCCCTGTGCTCACAGCATTCACCTCTGCACACCAAGGCACTAGGGTTCACTTGGCCCACGTGCAAGGGAAGACAGAGGGGCGATGAGTTAATGCCCCTGGAGCCCACCGACAGTGACAGTGGGGTGCTGTGGATCAGTCACCCGGCTTCCTCGCTGCTTGGTGGGGATCACCCCAGTCATGGTCCATACTGTCCCCCAGGTTCCCAACGGGACAGAACTCCAGGCTCCCAGGATGGCATCTGGCTGGATACTGATTCCTTCCCCTCCTGCGTCAGGTCTCCTCCCCACCAGTGTCTCCTGGGGTCTCCTCCCACTCAAATAGCAGCTTTCCCCTCGAGTGAACAGTGCGCATGGGACACAGAAGGAAGGCAGTGCAGACGGTGACTCGGTTCCACACAGATCAACACAGAACACTGTGTCTTTCTTAACACAATGCCACCTCTGGCGGAGCAAGTACTAATAGGAGGTGCATGGGTGACCACCAGAGAGGGGCAAACAGTAGGTGACAGCCGTGTGCCCAGCCACACAGTAGGTGCTCCAAAAGCAGGTTCTGAGCAAAAGGTGACCAAGCAGGCAGCATTTTTATGCAGGCCTGCTGTTACAGTCATCTGCTAAACGACTGTAACGAGACTCACGGACATTATCTCTTTTGCTCCTCTCAGTATATCTATGCGTTATCACAGAGGAGTCTCAGAAAGGTACACATCGGTGACATTGCATAGTGGCACCATGATTTGATATCAGGCTCATCTGACTGAGCTTTGCTCTTTGCTCACCTGCCCCACCTCTGAGACTCTGAAAGATTTCGATGGGCAACACGCAATGGAAAGCGTTTAGGGCTAGGGCATGTGGTGGGACAACACTGTTTCTCAAATTCCACTCTGTGGGCAGCTGCAGGTGCTATCAGCTGTAAACAGACATACCTGTGGCTCCACAGTCCTTGACATTAACTACATTCTCCCAGCAGGTTCCTGTGCTGCTTACTTGTGAGAGGAACCTGTATCAGTTATCTATTCCTCTAACACAGGGTTGGGGAACGTCCTGCCCGCGGGCCGTATAGGCCCTCGAAATCATTTGGTCTGGCTCTGCCAAGGCATTAGGGGCGAGTTAATGAAATGTTTGACCAAATAGAGCAGGCCAATTTTTAAGCTGAGATTTTGTATGGCTCACGAATGATGTTATAAATATCCAAATGGCCCTTGGCAGAAGAAAGGTTCCCCATCCCTGCCACAAAACCAGCAGCTTTAAACAAACACACGCCTTTCTCTCACAGCTTCCAGGGGCCAGGCGTCCCGGCATGACTTAGCTCCGCTCAGGGTCTCACCGGCTGCAGTCAGGTGCCTGCTGGGCTGTGCTCATCTGGAAGATCGGATGGAGAAGCTGTGTTTCCAAGCTCATTCGGGTGGCGGCCAAATTCATTGCTGCAGGTAAATGGCAGAGGGCCCAGCTTTCAATGGCTGACCAGCTGGGGGCCAGCACAGGCCCTGGGAGCCCCCACAGGCCCTGCCATGTGGCCTCTCCGGATGGCAGTTCGCTTCCCCAAGGCCAGCAGAGAATCTCTCCTCAGGCCACTGAGATGGAGTCACATGCAATGCAACTGTGGGGGTGACACCCCATCGCCTTTGACATGCGATGGGTAAATTTGTTACTAGGGTCACCATCATCATTTGTAATATAATTAGTTCTTACGATTATTATAAATTCATGTCGTACATACTAAGACCCCCATTTACTTTTTGCATAAAAGCTGTCCGCAGTTCCCAATGCCTGTGGAATAAAATCCAGTTCCCAAGCCTGGCTCCCATGCCTCTGGGTTACCTTCCTGGTTTCTCCTTTGCCCGTTCCCCGCTGTTCCCTGATCGTGCCCACATCTCCCTCTCCTTTCACGGCCCTTTTGCCCAGCCTGCCCCTTGCTTTCCCCTCAGTCGAGTTCACATGCCCATCTTTGCAAACCCATCAAGATGACCTTGACTCTCCCAGGCCCGCTCAGCCTTTTCCTTCTCTGGGCTCCAAAGTGCTGTGCATGTGCCTCTGTATACTGCCGGTCACGCTACATCCTGTGATTTCATCAGACAGTGAGTTTTAGTTCATCTCTGAGTTCCAGGACTTGGTGCAGATGGGGTCTCGATAAGTCATGCTGGAGGAATCCATAACCACTATGCGTAACAGCAACTTTTCCTACAGGGCCCCTTAACATTTGCAAAGTATAGGCAGCCGATGCAGGCGAGTCTGGAGTGAAGACATTGGGCAAAAGGCAGCGAGAACCAGCGGGTGACCTACAGGCACCGGGCAGTGCAGAACTGGCAGTCCTCTTCCCGTAGACTGTCAGGCTCCGGAGAGCGGCCGCTGGAGCCCTCGGCTCAGCACTTCCCCATTCGCTACTGCCTCTCTCGGTGCTCCTCTTCCCCGAAGCCTGCTTCCATATTTTCAGGTCTTTGAATGTTGCAGCCAAACCACTGCTGTGCTTCTGAAAGCAGAACCACACACCACCGGCCACCGCTCCTCGCTGACTTCCTGATCCCGGGGCTCCAATCCTGGCCTCCTGCCCCTTCCTCCGCTCTGCACACCCTTGTGGGGGCGGCCACATCCACCCCATGCGCACTGGCCCTGCATGGCCGCCCTGGCTCCTCCTGCTCCTGCACCATCCATCCTCCTCCAGCCTCCTCCATCTCCCTCCACCCCCCTCTATCCCCTTCCATCCCCCTCCAGCCAGGCGCCCTGGGACCTCTGCCCTGCTCCTCAACACTCTCATTCTTGAACTACTTCCCCATTTGAATTCTTTATGTCCCTCCTCCCTTTATTCCGGGGAAGCCTGGTCCAAAGTGTGACTTTTGTGGGTCAAAGGCCAGGATTAAAAATAGGAAGGAGTTACCATTTCTGTCACCCCACTTCCTTAGCCAGGAAGAGGCCACAAAGGTAGCACGTGCCCTGGCCAAGCGAAGAGGCTGCTAGAATTGCTGCACCAGCCAGGCCTCCGGGAGAAGTGGTCAGGGAAAACCGAGGCCCCGCAATGGGCTCGGGAATGGGTTCCGGTTCCTCATGAAATGGAAGGTATAGTAACTATGCCCATTTTATAGATGATTGCTCTCAGGTTTGGATCTAATTGAAACTGACAGATGCAAGACTGCATGAGGGACAAGCCACCTACAACCTGTGAGGCCAAGTTTCTCCTAAAACTGAGAAAGACCAGATCCTCCACTTGGGGTGACCAAGAGAATAAAGGGAGATAATATTTAAAGTGACGAGCGCAGCAGGTAACACATAGACATCTCGCCAAAGAAAGCCAATTACCTTCCCCTTTAAAACGGCTGTTGCTTCTTCCCGTGGAGGGCCCGATGGGAGGCTTTCGGGCTCCTTCGAGCTGCCCTCGCTGGAATGCACTTAGTACCTCAGGGCGCTGCCATCAGAGGCCGCACACAGCCTGCCGCCCGGCCAGCTGGGTGGTGGTAGGTGGCACTGAGCCAGCGTCCTCAGCAACCTCGGGAGCTGCTGAGACAGGGTGACTTTGATGTGGAGCCAAAGGAAGACGTGTTGTAATTATCTCAATTATTTGAGGCCCCCACAAAACTCAAAGAACTACAGGTCGCTTGCAAATTTTAAATTCCCTGCTGCTGGCCATCACACCAGATGAGTTCTTGGTTCCTCATCCAGTCCCAGCCCTGCAGTCTCACACCCTGGGGCCTTTGCACACGCTGGAGTCCCTGCCTAGTTGCCTCCCCTCCCCTCCCCTCCCCTCCCCTGCCCTCCCCTCCCCTCCCCTCCCTTCCCCTCCCCTCCCCTCAGTAGCTGTCGGAAAATTTCCCCTCAGCCCCACGGCCCTTCCGCCAGGAAGCCACCTCTGCCCACCCCTCCACAGTGCTCTGTGCACGTGACACATATCCCTCCCTGCTGTAATCCCCCACGTGTGTGCCTGGGTCCCCAACAACGTGTGGGCTCATCGAAGGCAGTGAGCAAGCTTCGTTCCTCTTCGTGCCTGGGCTCCCTCGATGCCTGACACAGAGAGGACCTCAAGACGTGTTTGTTGAAATGCACTCCAACAACCATGTAGTGGAGGGAACCAACGTTTTAAAATCTAAAAGAGCTCTTTTTGAATTCTAGCTGTTCAACGAAATAGCCCATCCCATTGGTTTGAGTTGGTTAGCCTCTCTTGCACCCCAGTTTCCATTTTGTGAAACAGAACGATGAGATGAGTCTCAGAGAATTGTTTAAAGGGAACACACACACACACACACACACACACACACTCCAGTGGGGCCAGGTTTCCACAGTTGGAGAGAAATGGAGAGTGAGCCATTTACACCAACATGCCAGCTCAAAGCAAGATGGCCCGTCGCCACCACTCAGGGGTGTTGACCTTGATGTCTTGATCACAGCCTCTTCTATACACAGGCCTTAAGTCCTGGGAACAGTCAGACCAGACTACACGAGGCCTCCTGAGCATCCCTCCCATGGACAGAGCATGCCTTGACTCCTGGCCAAGGTCAGAGACTTTCACACAGACCTTGGGCAGGTCTTACATCCCTATGCAGGTAAAAGTGTGCAGGGACACCAGAAGTGGCATACCCAGTGGGCCCTCTCTTGGGCAAAAACGGACAGAATCCCCAACTCCTAGATTCTGGCTGTCATATTAAGAAACAGAAGGTCAGCCCTAGCCGGTTTGCTCAGTGGATAGGACGTTGGCCTGCAGACTCAAGGGTCCTGGGTTCGATTCCGGTCAAGGGCATGTACCTTGGTTGCGGGCACGTCCCCAGTAGGGAGTGTGCAGGAGGCAGCTGATCAATGTTTCTCTCTCATTGATGTTTCTAACTCTCTATCCCTCTCCCTTCCTCTCTGTAAAAAAATCAATAAAAAATATATTTTAAAGAAAAAAGAAACAGAAGGTCACCTGGGAATCTCAAAAACAGGGCTTGTTTTCCCAGAACACAAGCCCATATGGCAGGCAGGAGCCTTTTCCTGTCTTTCAGATTTGCACCAGGGGTTGGGTATTAGTCAGGAAGGACTGGGAGATGCCCCAGTAACAAACAACCTGTCACATCTTGGTGGCTTGCAATCACAAAGTTTCCTTGCTCTCAGCCCCAGGGCTATGAGTTTTGAAGACTCTAGGGCAGCTGCCCTCCCTGTGATGGCTCTGAATGACAACCCTACACCCATACATGCTTCCACGTGAGTGTGGCCGAGGAAGAGCCAGGGCAGGGGCTCACTCAGCAGCGACACACCCACCAGGACTTGGATGTGCCTGCGAACTTTGTGTCTGCTCACCCGCTTAGACTGTCACCTCCTTCAGAAATGGAGCCATACCTCTTTCCTCACTGCTGTGCCTGCTTCAGAGGAGACATACTACAAGACTTTGTGGTGTAAACAAACAAGAGAACTGATTCACTTACTCATTTATTCCTTAGCTAGCACCCTGCGTGTGTCATCTGCACCAGGCTCTGGAATGAGGGATGGGGACACAACTGGAAGCAAGGCTCGGCCTCTCCCCTCAGTGAGCTCCCCATCAAGGGCAGAAGTCAATGGACAAAGAAAACCTAATTCAGTGCAGACTATAAGGGCCTTCGCTGAAATCCATGAAACCTGCTGTAGGAGCAAGTTAAGGAAAAAATAATCTTCCTTCAGGAAGGATTTAATGAGGAAGTGATATGTGAGCTGGCTCTTAAAAGATAGGTTTTACTGAGTAGAAGGATGAGAGAGGGAAGACAAGGGCAGTAGTATGATGGGGATATGGATGTTAGAACCAGCTTGGTGTGTTCAGGGAAGGGAGAACTTTGTTCTGTGTGTAGTTGGGCAGTTGCATATAAGGTGAGGATGATGAGAGCATAGATGGAAAGAGGAGCATAAGCCCTGGCCGATGTGGCTCCGTTGGTGGGAGCATTGTCCTGCACTCCAAATGGCCAAGGGTTCAATTCCTGGTCAGGGTACATACCTAAGTTTCAAGTTTGATCCCCAGGTGGGGCCCATATGGGAGGCAACCAATTGATGCTTCTCTCTCACATTGATGTTTCTCTCTCCCTCTTCCTTCCCCTCTTTCTACAAATCAGTAAAAACATACCCTCCAGTAGGATAAAAAAAAAAAAAGAAGAGGGAGAAGTATGTATGCCATCTCCATGTCATGGAGACCAGGAGACCATGCATATCAAGCTGAGTTTGAGTTTTATCCCACAGGAAATGGGAGCCTTTGTAGGTTCCCCCTGAGGGGAGGGATGCGGTCCCTCTGGGGGTCTGAAGAGGGTCCTACCTGTGGGAGTTGAACATGTGCACAGGGCAACACCCAGAACCATGGGACTGAGCAGAACGCCTTCTCAGGAGCCTGAGCCTGCTGGTCCCTGAGAGGCGGGTGCTCTTGGTCCTGGTTCTGCAGCAGGAATGTCCTCTGATGTATGACTCTTCTGTAGCTAACTTGCCCCAAGTCCAGGGGAACCATAGGTTTTGAAAAATGGCAGAAGCACAGTGTGATGGTTAGTTTTCTGTGCCAACATGCTAGGCTGTAGTGCCCAGTTATTTAATCAATCACTAATCTAGGTGTGGCTGTGAAGATATTTATAGGTGTGACTAATACCCACAATCAGTTGAGCTGAAGTGAATAAGACTGCCCTTGATAATGTGGGCACCTCTTCTAGCCAGTTGAAGGCCTTCTGAGCAAAAATGAAGGTTTCCTAGGGAAAAAGAAATTCTGACTGAGACTGCAGCATCAACTCGACTGAGTTTCTCTCTCTCTCTCTCCATATATATATATATATATTAGAAGCCTGTTGCATGAAGATTCGTGCAATAGGCCTTCCTTCCCCTGGCTGCTGGCACCGGTTTTCCTTCGGCACCCAGGACCCAGGCCTTTGGTCCAGCTGCAGCGGAGAAGCCAAGCCTCTTCAGTCTTCAGTCTTCAGTCTTCGCTCTGGGCCTGCATATGCAAATTAACTGCCATCTTTGTTTGGTTAATTTGCATAGTCACTCTGATTGGCTGGTGGGCATAGCAGAGTGACACCAATTTGCATGTTTCTCTTTTATTAGTATATATATATTTATTAGTATATTTATTAGTATATTTATTTTTATATATATATATATATATATATATATATATATATATAATTGATTTCAGAGAGGAAGGGAGAGGGATAGAGAGATAGAAACATCAATGATAACAGAGAATCACTGATCAGCTGCCTCCTGCATGCTCCACACTGAGGATTGAGCCCACAACCAGGGCATGTGCCCTGACCGGGAATCAAGCCGTGATCTCCTGGTTCATAGGTTGACGCTCAATTACTGAGCCACACTGGCTGGCCTCGACTGAGTTTCTAGCCTGCCCTATAAATATCAGGCCCATTAGGCAACACACACACACACACACACACACACACACACTCCTATATATATTGACACACCAATATCAATAGATAGATGGGTAGATAGATAGATAGATACTACTGGTCTTGTTTTTCTGGAGACTGCTGGCTAACTCATGGCAGAAATGAAAGTTAAAAATCCAGAAGAAGTACCCAGCTTGGGACCAGAGGCCTCCAAGTCCATACAATGCCCTTGGAGCAGGCTCCTGAGGGTGGGTCTGATTATCAAGCACTCGCCCTGCTCAGCTTGACTCAATTATAAGAGGAATGAAGCTGAAAACCTCACTATGGCTCCTCAGAAAAAGTCCTCTCATAGCTTGAGATGTCGACTGAGTCCTGTAGCCAGGTTCTGGGCTGTGGTTAGCCCCACCTGCTTCTGTGAAAATCCATCATCCTTTGTGACTAGGACTACAACTATAGCTGAATATGATGTCATTTGGAGTCAGACTCGAGCGGTCCTTCATGGCCACCTTCCCCCTCCTAACCCATTCAGTCTGGGAACACCTACATTCTTATCAACTTCAACTGAGCAGTGACCAGCAGGAGACTTAAGATGATGCTCTTCTGTTTTGCTTTTTTATAAAGTCAATAAAATAATTCTTAAATGCAACTTTTATATTAATGACTAGAGGCCCAGTGCACAAAAATTTGTGCACTCGGGGGGCGGGGGGGGAGGGGGGTCCCCCAGCCTGGCCTGTGCCCTCTCGCAGTCTGGGACCCCTCGGGAGATAACGACCTGCTGGCTTAGGCCTGCTTGTGGGTGGCAGAGGGCAGGCCCAATCCCTAAGTGCAGCCCCTGGTCAGGCTCAGAGCAGGGCCGATTGGGGAATTGGAGCGCCGCCCCATCATGCACAGAGCAGGGCGGATCGGGAGGTTGTGATGCCACCCTCAGTCACGCTCAGGGTAGGGCCAATTGGGGGGTTGGGGCACCGCCCCTTGTCACACTCAAGGCAGGGTCGATGGGGAGGTTGCAGCGGCACCCCCTGTCACGCACAGAGCAGGGCCAATCAGGGGGTTGGGCGCTGCCCCCTGTCATGCACAGAGCAGGGCCAATCGGGGTTGGGGCGCTGCCCCCTGTCACTCACAGAGCAGGGCCCATCAGGGGGTTGAGGAGCTCCCCCCTGTCACTCACAGAGTAGGGCTGATAGGGGAGTTGGGGCACCGCCCCCTGTCACACACAGAGCAGGGCGGATCAGGGGGTTGGGGCGCTGCACCCTGTCACACTCAGGGCAGGGCCAATGGGGAGGTTATGGCTCTACCCTGTCACACACAGAGCAAGGCCCGTGGAGGGGGGTTGGGGCACCACCCTCTATCACCCACAGAGCAGGGCCGATC